ATACCCTGCCGCACCTGGGATGATAGGAACGAACGGGAATGCTTTAAAAACGAACGCCACGTGACCTCGGTCCACACAAAAGTGTACTGGATCTGCTCGTCCCTTTCGGCTGTACGCGTTCGAAACACGATTCCGGAACCGTCAGACGGCGATACTGAGGAAAGTTGGTCACTACCGTGACGTCACACAGAAGTGAGCAAACGATGTTGGCTGACGGATTTGTACCAGTTCTATTTGACTTGGACGGAGCTGCATTGGTCATCGCGGTCGATAACGGCCCAGATAAGGATATCTTAGAAAGAGATGAACTGCGCGTGATGATGAGTATGTAAGCGTGATGGCCTGCAAATGCTTCCTCTGTACACGTTACCCAACGTCACGCATGGACCGACAGGGAAGCGTTCAATGATAAGCTTCAGAAAGTATGGTTGATTTCGCGCAAAAAAAAAAACAAAAAACAAAGGAAGGGTTTATGTGGAGCGCAAGCATTGTTCAATGGTTATTTCTTTGCCATGTGTAATGTCAGTTCTCGCTAAACAGATGACACATAGGTGTGCGCGCGGGTTATTGGGGGGGGGGGGGGGGGGTGGCTGCGATTCGGGTGGGGGGAGCAAAGTCAATCCCATACATTGGCATAATAGGAAAGAAGGCAGGGGCGAAGGCAGAAACTTTTTTTTCGGGGGGGGGGGGGGGAACACTGCCTCGAAATTGTCATATTTCGCTTTGTATGCCACAGCAAAATAAAATATTCAGGGGCGGGGGGGGGGGGCATGGGTCTGTTGTGCTACCCCCTGGTTACGACACCGAAGGGGGGTGTGCCAGCCTACGACGGAGCTTCGCCCCCCCCCCCCCTTCGAACCTGCGCACGCCTATGGCATGACATGCAGACTTGGGAGAACACGTAGTTCCTGCCTATTACATATTTCACAGCAGCAGTCACGTAAATGAAGAAAAAAAAATATACATAACACTACATCAAATAAGATCCAGTTACAAATATCAAATGATGTTAATCAAATTCAAGGTCATTTGCCTTCAACCTTGTGCAGCGTTATATCATTAATTAAAAAAGACGAAATAACTTAAAGCACGTTTTCGTCGAGTCCAGAAACCACGGGCATGAAAATCGAGCGCAGCTGGCTTTTGGGACAGTGAGCATGTGGCGAGCGACCGGCGCGCTTTGTTGAGAGTCACAGCCGATAGGCGGCGCCACCATGCCAACTCTGCGCATCGATTCACCGGTTGCACAAAACGAGTGTTCCGCACGCGACGAAGACGAGTCCGTCTAACACTCGCTAGCAGTACAATAGCAATGAATACCGTCTCACACTGTCACCGACAAGTTCTATTAAAATGGTTAAAGGTTAATTAACCGAAGTAGGAAATAAAGAATGTTTAGGTTCTTTGCACGGAATGCTGGCAGGGAAAATTGAGTTTTACACGCAACGGATATAACGTCGCACAGTCACGGAAAAAGAAAAGGCAGACGCACATGTGGCCATAGTGACGAATGGTGCTGCCGTTTCTGATCATGAGCTATGTTTTCTGCCTACTTTGCTTTCCATTACAAGGTAACCTTTCAGTTTATATTCGGCGTGTGCGTTGTCCGTTTCCCTTTATCCTGTGACCAGTCTAGCTTTTGCAGCGTGCGTATGACTTTTGGTGTAAGCAATGGCATAAAGGTAAACATGTAAAAAAGGGAACCACGTTTTAGTTCCGCTTCTTCGTGTGCGCTAAGAATAAAAGTTACATTTTCATGGTGGACGAACTACGGCACATTCCACGAATTTTGCACTTGAGATACAACTCTTCTATAGACTAGCACGTCTTGACAGGAAGACCACATGCAGGGGAACCTCGGCACACTTTTGGGTATATCTCATCTCTTCCGTTCAGTATACGTTGACAAACGGCTTTTTCAGCTACCATGACAGTCTACACAACGACGAATACATGCGTTAAATGACCCGTTCTCGACAAGTGGTCACTCTCGCACGGGCACACGATTAACCGCTTTCAAGAATGGCGGGGGTAATACGTGATAACGGGTCGCCTGATCTATGCGATCGTGTCGCGGTTAACCCTGCCAACAGTAGCACAGCTCTCGCCTTCCCGTGTCATATCTTATACATCGCCGTCCAAGACTCCAAAGGCGTGCCCGTCAGAACACGGCCACACCACCAGTTAAAGGACAATGCCCCCCCCCCCCCCGGTGGGAGGGGGGGGGGGGATACGGGCTGAGTACGCAGCGAAAGCGCAATATACAAAAGCAGGGCAATGCAGTCAGCGTAAGATGATCGACGCGTCCCCACGCGGAGGAGTTCGGCGCTACTCGAGCGGTTAGTGATTAACACAGACAGCTCGGTGTCCCCGCGCAAGTGTCCGATCTATACAAAGCCCGCGAAAGTCCAAGATGCGTCCCGCCGTTTTTTTCAACCGTCAGAGGACAAACTATCTCGTCCACCCGCCTTCCCCCGGTCTCCAACACTACTTAGAACTGGACCGGGGTCAACCCGAGCGCCGCTGTAAGAAAGAAGGGCTGTCCAGACCAACGCCCCGATTCGGTCGACTATCTCCCCCGTTCTGGGCCAGCTGTTTTCGCAGACACGTCAACTGCGCCCTTCTTCAGGGACTGAAACTGCGTCCTGGATATTGTGCTCCCCTCAGTCCCCAACCTAACTCTCTCCACCTTCCCCTTAAAGAATAAGGTATATATACACACACACACACAGTGTTTTTTGCACGGTTGCCAATCTCAGGTTAAATTGCCCGCGCGTGCCCCCCTACGCAGTGGGCGATAACGGGACCTGCACGTCCCCTTTCTTCTGTCATCACGAGTGATGAAAGGAGGAAGGTGAAGCGGGCGAGTAGCGTTGTGAGAGTGCGTGTACGTGTGCGCATCGTCTGTGTATACAGAGTATATCTTTTCGCGAAGCTCGGCACCCCGACTGCCAAGATTCCTAAAACAAAAGAGAGAACAAAAAAACTGACACAGCAGGAGCCTTAAACAATGGCCTAGCTCGAGCTCTGCACTTAAGACGAACTGCTGAAGTTTCTATCGCGGACAGCGGCGTCGACCACCAAAACACCCCGAGGTAAGCCAGCTTCGTCGCGGTGGGGACCGACGTGCTTTCCGTTATTTACCGCTTATTGGCCGAGCTTTTTCTTCTTTTTTTTTTTCAACAAGGATAACCGCACGAACGTTGAGGGAATGTAAAGAGAATAAGATGGGTGTGCGAAAGGAACTGGCGTAAACAACACAGAGACCCTTGTAGAGGAAAAAATTCCGCCATATCCACGAAGTGAATGATGATGAGTGGGCGAAGCTCCGGAAGTAAACCTGGTAAACCATGAATCCTCTGTACATTTTGCCCACTCGATTTTATTACATCGCTCCCCCTAGCGTACGTCGCCGCACTAAATCGAACGATTGCCTTCAACCAATGACACGCGCCATATGTGACATCATTCCTATTTTATAAGATCTCGCGTCTTTCATCAACTACAAGTACCGCTTTCTAGTTTATAACATCTTGCATCTTTTCATCATCAGCTACAAGTACCACCATCTAGTAAACACTACAAGAACTAAACGAGAGGTGGCTACATACAGGAGACGGTACCGCCATCTAGTGAACACTGCAAGAACTAAACTAGAGGTGGCTACATACAGGGGACGGTACCGCCATCTAGTGAACACTGCAAGAACTAAACTAGAGGTGGCTACATACAGGCTACAGGGGACGCACAGCCCACGCCCTAAGGAGCTTCGCCCCTAAAAGGCAGAATAAGTGTGAGTGGAGCCGTAACTCTCTCTCAGGCGAGGACACCACAACCTTTGCCACTCGGGGGAAATGGTAAATAAATACAGAAAGCAACAGCACCCTCGGGCGGTGCTTGAAGCTCGCGTGGCGAGAAGGACCTTCCTCCAAGAGTGGCGGCAGCGGTGGTTGTGATGGTTTGCGTACGCTGTTGTGACGTTGCGTTTTTTTTTTTTTTTTTTGACCGAGGCATTGGCGTTTGTATGTGGTCTCTTCGGAACTGCAAATTGGTAACAGCTTGTTCTTCACATCGAGTGTTGTATGCACTCACTTTTGTCGGGGCCACCTGTTTTGTCAGAATTTCGAATAACTGCGAGTACATTACTCTATTATAGTCTCAGCTGCCGCACTTGAGAGAAAGATTTAGCTTTTCATGCCACGCTCGTGTTTCGTTCTGAAGGAACTTTTTTTTATGTTTCTTTGCTGATTCTTTGCAAAGCTCCCAGAGGGATCCCCGACGAAAACGTGCGGCTGTTTCGGTTACATTCAATTAATGAACACGTCTATGTGGTTCGATTCTTTAAAGACAGCTGTGTCCAGTAAAAGCTCCCATATTTTTTTAAGTAGAACAAAAGATGTCCGACAGAAGAAAACGCCGACGCGTGTATGTAGTCCCTGTTTGTGCACACATCGGCACGTCAACTTCTACTTCGGGAACATTCGGAAGGTGCTTGCTTGTAAATTGACAGGAAATATTCGTGGACAAATGTTTCTCTGGAAGTACGTGGCGAGGCGTATTGATGTTTCCCAAGTGCAGGCAAACAGTGCAGTCGCTGAACATATAAATTACAATTTTGAGGTATGTCTAGAAATACCACTTACAGGTACATGTACCGTACAATTTGACAGTACAGTTTACCGATAATAGTAATGGTATACTTGGTGTGGTGCCAAAAGTCACCTCTATATAGCCTTGCAACTGAATAACTTTGACAGTGTTTAACGACATTGAACGATCGTACACCCGGCACTAAATAATCGCAACTGGACAACCTTGAAAAACTGCGTGGTCATCAAGCGATTGCGTTATACGTGCATATAAACAGTGCGACGTGACAAACAGACACAACGCCCGTTAGTTGGCTGGTTGTTCCATTATGTGCCTCCTCTTTCTCTACTTCGCGTTCCAGTGCGAAAGACCTAATCAAAGCTGCAGGGAGAGTACATTGGGAGACTCACCGAAAGTTGGAGAACCACTTGACGAGCTGCGCGGTGTTGTTCTTGTTGAAGTTGATGTCCGGGAAGTACATCTTGAGGATGGCCGAGCTCGGGTACCGCACGTAGAAGAACATGAGCTTGGCCTTGCGCAGATGCATGGGCGTCAGCGTGGTGGTGTAGCCGCCGCTGCCGACGCCCCCGAGAGACTTGAAGCCCGGCGAGTCCGACGCCACCGAGGCGTTGTCGCCCCGGCTGCTCCCGTGGTTGCCGCTCTGGCTGCCCGGGCCTCCCGGAAGGCCGGCCGCGGCCGGCGCGTGGGACGATGGGCCACCGGCTCCGTTGAAGTACCTGCGCAATGGTGTACACAATGCAGCGCGCGTTTCAACGTTGAGCACAGATCACGAGGTTCATCAACCTGATGTATAGAGCTTCATAAGTTCATCAGGGTACGTTAGCCATTCTGTTTCCATCTTTCCTATCTCTCCTATCCCCTCAGTTTGTTGTCGCTTCTTCTGGCTTACCACCTCACGTCTCTTCCTCTTTTCAACACCTTTACTCCTACCCTTTTTATTCCTCCTCACTCCCATCCCTTGTGAGCTACCGTTGAGGTGTCGCTCACTGAAGCAGACAGTTACGGGGCTCACTTTTCTCTTCCTTTCTTTCTTAAGAATCACCCATTGGGACTCTACAGTGTCAGCGTTTTTCGAGTTGTATATGGTATGTGCAGCGAATTTGTCATGTTCGAAAATTTTAGACCCTGTACGCGCTATGTTTGACACCTCTGAGAGCTAAGAGGTAGCCGCAGGCGCGTTACATGTGCGTTGTCATCGTCATCACTACTTGCCATGAATCGCTTACCGGTTGGTACATCCTCAAGGAGACGGGAAGCAGCGCGAACCATGGTACAAAGAACAGACGCTTGATCATCATCATCATCGTCGTCGTCATTACTATTATTATCATCCTGACCACCCCTATTGCAGGGCAAAGGCCTCTCTCCACCGTTTCACCACTTAACCCGGTCCTGTGCTTGCTGCGGGCGCGTGTGACACCGGCCGACCTCTTAATCAAATATGCACACCTAACATTATCGAATCTATGCACACCTAACATTATCAATCTCTTAATCAAATATGCCCACCTAAATATGCACACATAAATATGCACACCTAACTTGAATGCCTGACTCATAACTAACTCTCTTGATGTTCCTGCCGCCCGGTTCTTGGTCGATCCCCCTTTGTGGGCGAGTGCCAGCAATGCTAAAGGATCATCATCATCATCATCATCATCATCATCAGTAGCTGTCTAATCACATATCAAACAGAAGTAAGGAAAAAAAAGCCGAAAATGAAAAGACTCATTTTCACGAACCTCAATGTTTCGAGTTCTATGCTTGGTGCCTTGTGCAAATGTATAACACGCTGATGTGCTGAGACTGACGCGAAACTGAGATAAATTTCAGATGAAGAGAGATCGCAAGTAAGTTCAGGAGAACGTTACTTGTAGTCTGTGCTAGTTCGTTAGAGAGACAGTGATTATAACAAATGCGTGAGACAGACGATGAAGGTTGATGAAACACGTCACTACAAGACGACAAATTTGTCGAAAATAATTTTACGCATACCGGGAGTGTAATCCCTAGCTCCCCGTTTCGTGGCCCTTTAAGACGGGACAAATAAAATTGTTTTCCACTCTCTTTTTACTTATAGGTTACGTTTGCCCTGCCGCGGTGGTCTAGTGGCTAAGGTACTCGGCTGCTGACCCGCAGGTCGCGGGATCGAATCCCGGCTGCATTTCCGATGGAGGCGGAAATGTTGTAGGCCCGTGTGCTCAGATTTGCGTGCACGTTAAGGAACCTCAGGCGGTGTAAGTTTCCGGAGCCCTCCACTACGACGTCTCTCATAATCATATGGTAGTTTTGGGACGTTAAACCCCACATTTCAATTATACGTCATGTTTGTCATGTCACTTATTGTATCAACTATGCCCTTTTGAAGCTGTCCTCCTGCTTGGACCTAAAGGTCTCCAGTATGTAATAAATAAATAAATAAATAAATAAATAAATAAATAAATAAATAAATAAATAAATAAATAAATAATAAATAAATAAATAAATGCGCATTATGGTTCGTGAAAAGAAACTGAAAAAAAAAGTGCTCGATTCCAAGTCGTAATATGAGACAACAATGCAGCCACGCATTCGCGTACTGTGTTGATTGTAAGAGTAACTATCAATAATCTTGAAATAAAAGTTATTTGCGCGTCTGTTACAATAACAGTTGACCTCCTCTGACAATCCTTTTCGACCAGTAGTCCGAAACGTTTGCTTGTCACGCTCTCATTTCACCGGGGCCACGTTGATGGCCAGTCGGGAAGTGATGAAGCTGCCGTTCTCTCTCCGTAAATAGTGAAATAACCGTACCAGTCATCGTGAATATCCACCGCGTTCCGTTCATCCTTACGCATCAAGTGTGATGCCTGCGGGACGGCTTTGGGCTCTCCCATATTCAACTACCTCGTGCACTAAATCGGCAAGAACTATTTCTAAACGGAGTTAATTGATTGATTTGATTGATCGATTTGTGGGGTATAACGTCCCAAAACCACCACATGATTATGAGAGACGCCGTAGTGGAGGGCTCCGGAAATTCAGACCACCTGGGGTTCTCTACCGTGCACCCAAATCTGAGTACACGGGCGTATACAACATTTCCGCCTCCATTGGAAATGCAGCCGTCGCAGCCGGGATTTGATCCCGCGACCTGCGGGTCAGCAGCCGAGTACCTTTGCCACTAGACCACCGTGACGGGGCCTAAACGGAGTTAATGTCCCCTGTTTACGATGATAAATTTCTCTATACACATACCCGGACGGCTTACTGCTCTCTCATAGTTGAGTACGAACTACTCGAAATCGTTAAACTCCTTTTTTTTTAACGCGCAGCTCTCAGTGCCTGATGGCTCTCTTGTAGTAGAGTACTGAGTAAACACTTAATCGTTAAACACTTGTTTTTCTAAACACACACAGTTAGCGAACTTCGTGTTTTGTTGCCCGTAATGGAACTCCAAATCAACACTCTTTTGCGCGGACCACGTATATACGCACTGCGATAGAGTAGATGCTTCAGTTCACCACGCAGGATTTTTACATGTAAGTACTTATTCAATTACACGTCTGTGTTGTTTCTTTTTTTTTTTTTGCTTTCCTCCTACCTCCTTTTCCTCTGTTTCCCCCATCCCGAAGAAGGCGAACACGGCAACTGTCTGCTTGTTCTCTCGCTATTCCATCTGTGTCCTGGAGTGTTTTGAATATCCAAATAATAATAATAATAATAATAATAATAATAATAATAATAATAATAATAATAATAATTGGGGGAAGAGAGGCGCACCTCGCCAGATGATGTTGACGTATGCAGTCCCAGAAACACCTAAACATGATCCATTTCGCCGTTTCTGGTCTAGTGCGTTTGGACTTTTGCGAAGACAGGGGCCAACGCTGGCAATCACTGAGGCATTTATGCTGGTATCACATTAAGTCTCTTATGTACATGTCATAGATATTATGACGTGCTAACTGTTACGTTGCCCACGTGTGCTGACTCACTCCCATAATAATGAGAAACAATACTGATTCGGCTCGACATTTTTGATTTACGTTGCGAAGGTGTTGTTTGTCATATGCGTGTTCTTACAGCAGAGCTGCTGTGCTCGGGGTTGCTCGAGTGTAGTAGATGGAACATTACTATAATCATGACCCAGCGTGGAATCAATCAGCGTCCAAGAGAGAGAGGTTTATTACGAGAGTGAGAGGTCGGCCTGAATCAATTTTCTGACCTGCTACTCAGCATTAGGTAAGGGAAAGAGGTGGTAAAGGAAGTATGGAGAGGGTGTTGACGACGGTGAGAATAAGGTTGATGATGGATCGAAATCATTCTGTACAGATTGTTGGCAACTTAAGAGGAGAAGCTGAAACATGAAGAAATTTCCCCCATTTCTGTGGCAGATATGCTCGTTATAGAAATTTTGCAACAGAGCTGTTATGATCAAAGTTTGCGGTGCGTCCCAGAAAGGAGTTTTCGGATACAACGTGGTAGCAGCAAGCACAGGACCGGGTTGATTGGCGGAACACGAGGGAGGCCTTTGCCCTGCAGTAGGCGTATAGTCAGACTGATGAGGATGATGATGACGTAGTCCGAACAGTATCGTCATCAGGATACGGCTCTCGCCTAATGACCACCCAAGCATTCTGCACCGATGGTTAAAGGGGGCGCTAAATAGTACAAAAGCTTCTTCAAAGTACAGTTTCGCAACCCCGAAAAGTACAATATTGCAATCCCAGAAATGCCTCTCCTAATGCGACACGACACTCGGTATAAGCGAGGAAACGCGCGGAAAGAAACTGCGGGAGGAGGCGCCACCTGGAGATTCCCGCACTAAACACTGTGACGTCATCAATTTTCGAAGGCGTCTACCTGGTCCTACGTAGCTTATATTCAATAAAATTGAAGTACATTGTAATAAGTGGGTGCCATAGACTTAGCATACGAAGTCTCAGCAAGTTTCATCAAGCCAATCTCGTGAAAATGCAAAAAAAAAAAAATACTTTGTGGAATTTTTTACGTCACGTGAGGAGATTACGGCGCGAAATTTGAAAGCGAAACTTCAACCTTCATTTCCTCAGCTAATAATGAACTTATGACAGTGAAACTTATGACATTAGAGTTCTCAGTGTGCAGTTTATCAATCTATAAACAATTCATTGTTTCTCTTTAGTGCCCATATGAATATGAAACGTGCCAATCATCTCTGCTGTGACTTTCCCTTGCGCGACTTACTTGCAAGCTTCGCTAATTTTTTTCACTATTACGCTGCTTGTGTATCTGTGGCGTTGTATATATGCTCCATCTATTCAACAGCTAAAGGGCACTCAACGCTTTATTGATGATGATGATAATTATGATGATGAAGATGATGATGATAATGATTGTGCCTCAACCATGAATTATACCCACTGAGGAGGGTTGGCCAAGAATTGGTCATGTCAATTTTCAGGTCTTTCAAGTATGAAATAATCTTAACAAAAAGAGGAAAGTACGTACTTGAAACAGAAATAGTGCAATAATTGTTTTTTTTTGCCGTACTAATAATTGCCGTACCAACCAGACAGTATAGTCTATATCGTGAGTATAAATCACAGTAATATCGAGCAAATTTAAAATTTACGCTTCGAAATCACTCATTAGGGCTGTAACGCCTCATTTGTGCCCCGACGTCCTCTTTTACACCAGGTCAATAAAGAAAAAAATGATGTCAAAGTTCAAGGGAAATCGAAAAGTTGCGCTACCAAGTTGCTGTTTTGTTTCAACTGGCTTGCTGTGGATAGATCGAGCGTGATGATGCGCATTGTGACGCGTCTACATCATCACACTGAGGTTACCTATTACCACGGCTGCTCCATTTCTGTAAGTTCTGCAGCAAAAAAAAAAAAAAAGTAGCTGCCCAAAATAAAAATGAACACGTAAAAAAAAAACATGAACTGAAACAAGTGACCATCCGTTATCTCTGCCGAATCATCCCTAGTGTGGGAGGAAAATGCAGTTGAAGTCCGTGACGCCACAGGAAAAGTGACTGATATTGAGTCACACGCTTAATGCAAGGGAATGGGAACTTGCCTTTCATTTTGCCAAGTGATAATCGAGATTTACGTCCACCGCGAAGGTACAGTGGCTGCGGAGCTCGGTTGCTGACGCAAAGGTCGCCGGTTCGAACCCCGTCGCGGCGGTCTCCCTTAGTTCGAGGCGAAATGCGAGAGGACCGTGCGGTGTGAGGTGTCAGTGGACGCTAAGGGACGTCAGGCGGTCAAAATGTCCATAGATCTCCACCGCAGCGCACCCCATAATCCCATATCGTGCTTTTTTTTCACGTAAAACGTCAGAAGTCATTACACACATTCATTTTTAACGTATCAGCTATAGTCAGTTATACATGAATTTGAAGCTAACGCAGATGCTTGGGCGAGTTGATACGACATGATTCACATAAAAAAAAAAAAAAAACTCGGGTGTTAGGTGAATTCAGTTTTCTTTGATTTGTATTTCCCCTTTTTTTGTCAGGTACTGCTCAAGTATATATTGTGCGGTTCCAGCAAATACATCTTGTTGTAAGTCAGTGCCGCTGTCTGTCTCCTTCTTTTCTTGTCCCTCGTTATTGGCGCAGTTTTTTATGTGGATTTGAGGCACGTCGACCATAAATCCCTTCATTAGCCAACAAGCACGATAAGTGTGCTAGTTAACTCCAAGCTTTCGGATAAGCGCACCTTTCCTTATGTAGAGTATATCATTCTTACAAGTCCGATGCTCTAACAAAAACAGTATGTCTTCGAAGCTTAAAACAACTCCAATGAACAATGACGTGCTGGAACTGATATAAAAGGTTTTAATTACGCTTATGACGCGTTAATTGTTGCGCTTTTCATGCCGGCGTAACTGAACAATAATTGTCAATATTTGTTCTCTTTCAGTCCCTCTGATAGTTTAATGGGAAATACTCTGCCCAAATTGCCCCGCAACAGTGGTCCAGTGCATTTCGTGCTCGTCTGCTGGCCCAAAGGTCTCAAGATCGAATCCCGGCCATGGAGCCCTCATTTTCTCCGTAGGCGAAAATTCTGGAGGCCCACATACTTCGATTTAGGTGCGCGTTAAAGAATCCCAGTGGGTCGACATTTTCTGGGCCATCCGCGACTGGGTCTTTCGAAATCATACGGTGGTTTTGGGGCGTTAAACCGCAATAAGTATTGCATAATTACTTTATCGGCCTGAAGTATTATTACTGAAGCATCTGAATAAAGGTGGCTCTGCAGTTTAAGCGGTTCTTTGGAAATATACTTCAAACCGTGTGCTCAGATTTGGGTGCACGTTAAAGAACTCCAGGTAGTAGGGATTTCCGGAGCCCTCCCCTACGACGTCTCTCATATTCATATGGTGGTTCTTGGACGTTAAAATGCACATATCAATCAATCAAATTCTTCAAAAACAGTAAGCCTGGCCACACATCTCATAGATATTACTATTAACCCACAACGGGCAAGACTGAAGTCCTATAAAGCCACCCTGTATAGAACATACTCTTTAGCCTTCTAACATACGGGACTGACGTACTTGTCCGCTTTTCACTTATGTGGTTTGGCTAAAAATCGCTTGCTCATATTGAAAATGGCGTAAAACTTACGAGGCTGTGGAAGGAAGGGAAACGAAAGAGAGGAAAGGCAGGGATGTTAGCCAGTTTGGCATAACCGTTATGCTACCCTACGCAGGGGGAAGGGATGGGGGAGATTGAGAGAAGAGTAAAGGAAGAGATAGAGAGAGAGAGAGATGGGAAGCACACTGTAGAGAAAGCACGGTGTCACGCACAGGGGGCTTCAAAGTTTAATTCGGCAGAACAGCTAACCTAAAGCTGAACCGTGCGAATGCACATGGGCGTGCTATTGCTACATCGGTAATGCAACCTGTTGGCACGGTACTATAGTAAAGAGAATGGCGAAAACTTTCCTGCCTGAAAGTTAGCTTACCGTTGGTATGTAAGTGAACAGTATCAGCTCGACACTGAGAATCATGCCCAAAACGATGGGATTGCCTTCCTACTGTTACTTCCGGTCTTATATTTCATATTGTACTATAGTTCAAACTGCTCAAACCGCAACACCCGCACTACTACATTTCGAACTTTCGAACTTCACGTATAGTTAGCAAGCTTGAAACCACGTAATTTAGTGCATAGCTGCTATAAATGGCGGGTTGGCGTTCTCTTTGACGCTTGTCAATTTTGACCAGCACGTGTTCAAGCAACGCGCTCACAGCTCCAGTAATTTTTTTACTTCTCCGGTCTCTCTTTTTCCCTATCATTACCGCAGCTTGCGGTATACTTTAATGCACGCGCGTTAGAACATTTTTTTAAATACCTTTTCATTACATGCATGTCTGCACGCTCCGTATCACTGAAGATAAATCTCTTTTGAGAAGTTCAGATAGACGAATTTGTTCGGTGTCCCGTTCGTTGGGGCAGCAAAGTTTTCATGATCAATCTACTGTCCGCTCTCCCACTTTGCAGCTTTCCACTTTCACTCTCTCTTGTGCAATGACTCGACTGTGTAAGTGACAAAAAATTGCGATGGTAATGATGATGATAACACCGCGCTGTTCTAGCGAGATAGGCGGGTGAGCTCCACCCCTTTCGAACCACCGAGTCACACTCTCACTCACGCATGCATGCGAGGCAGTGAAGCCCGCAGTACAGCGAGCACGCGAGGATGGGAGGAAACACGGGTACTCACTTGAGGAAGGACATCATGGCCATGCTGCTGGAGTCGTACTCCTGGCTATTATCCGAGTCGTTGTCCTGCGGCGGCGGAGGCGGGACCCTGGGGCCCGCCAGCGACGGGTACCGGTGCGGGGGCGCCTCGGCGGGCGAGTGGGCGGCGGCGGCCAGCATCAGGGGCAGCGGCTGCTCGTCGTACAGCCGAGGCTGGTCCACGTGGTGGAAGAAGACGTCGGCCGCCGCGTGGTGCAGGCTCGGGTTGGGGATGGCCACCGACGTGTTCAGAGACACAGGGACCAGAGGCGGCGGCGGGAAGCCCGCGCCGCCGCCGCCGCCCGGCGACTCCTTGGACGAGGGGCTGCCGGGCTCGCGACCCACCAGCCGCGTGTCCGTGACCTTGTGCCTCTTCTTCTTGGTCGGCACCACCAGCGACATGGCCTCGGTCTGCTCGGGGATCACCGGCTCCGAAGACGAGAACGGGGGCGTGTGCCTGCTCTTCAGGGGCGTCGACGAAGAGCCCGGGTAGAAGGAGCGCTCCACGGGACCGCCGGGAGAACCTCGGTGGCCGTTCAGTCGGTTTCGGTCCAGGACTTTGGTCCGCGGGGACTTGCGGTCCAGCATCTGCGTCAGCATACTGCGCTGGTCGTCGCGACACGGCGGCGCGCCGTCCAGTCTCCGGGCCACCGTCGTCGGTGCCGGGGGAGGGTGCTGTTGAACCGCGGCTGCCGCCGCGGCCGCCGTCGCTGCGGCAGCCAGGCCGTCGGGCGCCTGGCTGCGCGCGTAACGATAGAACACGTTGTCGATCACTCGCGGAATGACGTACGCCATCTCGGTCTTTATGGTCGTCACCAACCGCTCCATGTCCTGGGGAAACACCATGGGCGGAGGTCTCACTATGCACGTCTGCCGGGGGGCGTCGGAGAGCCGGGTGTGACGGAAGTCGTCCGGTGGTGTGCCCGGAGGGCTCCCCATCGCAGAGTCGCCGCCGCCACCGCGCAAGGGAGGCTTGACGTCCCGCAGCGGAGAGGAGCGCGGTGCGTCCGTCGACAGCTCCGAAGGGGGCGTCGTCAGTTCCCGGCAGTCGTCGTCGTTGTTGTTATTGTTGTTACTCAGCCGGCCGCCGGCGGCGGTCGAGTCATCGGACGCATCTCCATCCTCTTCCATCTCGTCATCTTCGTCCTCGCTCCTCATCTCGTCGTACCGCTGCTGCATAGTGGCCACCTCAGTCTTGAGCCTCAGCAGCTCCTGGCGGAAGGAGTCGCGGTCGGCCGCCCCGGCGCGGCTGCGCAGCCGCAGTTCGTCGTCCGCCGCACCGGACAGTGCCTGTTGGGGTTGGTACAGCTTGCGCTTCTTGCACCCGTTGACCGTCGGAGCCGGGGCGCTGACCGGAGCCTCTCCGTTGCTGCCGCCGCGGCGCATGTTGGACACGATGCTTTCGACGCGCGCCTTCTTCGCATCCGTCTCGTCGTCCGAGGTGCCCCGCGCGCTGCCCGCACCGTCCGCAGCGGCGGAGGCCGCCATCTCTTCGTCGTCGTCGTCGCGCTCTTCGTCGGCCGACGCGGCGTCGTCTTCCTCCTCGACTCCGCGGCCTCCCTGGAGGATGTCGCGGAGGAGGTGTGCGCTGCCGCCGCGCTCGACCTGGTCCAGGTGCTCGTCGGCGCTCATGAAGCCATTGCGCAGCGGGCGCAGGTCGAGCGAGGTTCCGTTCGAAGGGGGTGCCACGGCGACTCTCGCTTCTCCGGCGTCGACGCGCGGGAGCCGCGACGTGTTCCTCTTGGCCTTCGCGGCGCGTGCGAAACTGAGTTGGCCCTCGGCGGCCGAGTCTTCCTCCGATGACATCAAGCCAAGACGAAGGCTTCCGATTGGACCGACGGAGCGCTGGAGAGGGGAGGAAGAGGAGGGCCGCCGCCTCAGGAGCAGCAGCTACGCCGAGCAGCGCCGACGGCAGCGCGGCATTCGTGTGTCACACTTGGCCGAACCTGCGCACGCCGAGAGAAGGGCGAGAGTGAGGAGGGGACAGCTGGCGACGCCAAGGAACGCCACAAAGGAACGCCGCCGCCGCTAGGGAGAGGAGCGCGCGCGCTACGCCACAATGGGCCCGGCTGCGGCAGATGGGACGGCCCGCCAGCAAACCCACCTTTCTTTTCCTTTTGCGCCGCTTCTCTCGCTGTTTTGCTTTCTTTAATCGGCAAGGGAGAAAATCACCCCCCTCTTCGTATTTGAGAAGGGGGGAATCTCTCCTGAGCGTACGGTAGAGTGAGAGCTCGTTTCCTTCATCTAGATTCAGAGTAGTGGGGGGGGGGGGGAATGTCGGGGTGGAGGAGGTCTGGAAGGTAGCCACCGGGCACCGATGAGCCCCCCGAAAACGCGCGCGTGCGGAGAACGCGTGCGAGACGCGTGGAGAGTGAGTCCCCGTTAGAATCGCGAGGAGCCCCCACTTTCGAATCCCCCCCACAACTGTCCGTCCCCCATTCCAGTCTTACAGCCCCCCCTCCCGTCTTACCCTCGCCCGACGCGTCCCGGGGACAACTCGATCGAGCGCACTACGCGAGGAGAACGAGCATTCGTAGTGATGGTGTAGTAAGAAGTAGCGTTACCGTAGTAGAGAAAGAAGCATTTCACTCTCCCTGAACCGGGACAAATAGTGGTGCACGCCGGGAGCAGGACACAGGAGGAGATGCGAACGTCGTACGCGCGTGGCGCTAAGTTCACCACCTTCCCATTCTCATTTCTTGATCTTGCTTTTTTTTTTTTGGCTGAATAATCTAGTTCGCAATACACAAAGAGAAGTGAGCAATCCGTGGAAAAGTGGCGTGAAAGAGAGAGAGAACGAAACAGCAGCAGTAAGTAGCATAACAGGCAATGCACTCAAAAACCTCACGATGCCGAAGGGTGCGTACGTCTGTGCCGACGGCGTCAGGACGAGAGGAGGTGAAGGGAAAGCCACAGGAGGCTTCGCATTGGCACCCGCGCCGAGAGTTTTCTTTTTTTGGTGTGTTTTTCCCCTCTTTCTCTATAACCGACGACAACATCGACCTCGACGTTCCGAACTTCCCGGAATCGCGACGTCGCCCTTGCTCCACGCGACCGCCGACCGTCGTCGGGGACCCGGAGTACGGCGTAGCGCCGTATGCGTACACTACGCGTATAATATACGCCGCATTTACCTTTCTCCCCGTGCCAGCAACTACCGGCGATACTGCGAAACAAGCATCAACCACCGGTGCGAGTCGCGAAGCGATCGAGGAGAGAACGCCGAGGGGATTCACTACAAAAAAAAAAAAAAAAAAGAAAATAAAAAAAGGATCAACCCATTCTGCACCGTAGAAGCCCATTGTCACCTCCCCGGTATACCGTGCGACAACACCCGTTTGCCCTTTGTTTTTTGTTTTTCCCTTTACATGTTTTCGGTGTCTTTCTGAGGGCGGTGTCCACGTGTGTTTATCGCGTATACGCTTTTCGTGAGGGCACGTCCTTGGGACTGCAAGTCCTTGCGCGGCGTAGGCGACGAGCCAGGGTCGCAAAGCCCACTCGTGCGTCGGTATGGTGCCCTGAACGAGCCCTCTCGTGTGGCAATGACGCGTCGTCGCTGCGGGGATAAAAACAAAGCGGCGACCGGAAGGCGATTTCACGGCCCTGCCAACTCCCCCCCCCCCCCGTCTCTCCGAACGAACTAGAGCTACGTGCTTCGTCCCGTACTGATTATGCAGTACGGTGCTTGCGGAGAACAAAAGAACACCGATCTGTGGTACACTATGTAGTCTATAGGTAGGTGCTCAGTATTCATGTATACGCGCGGTTGGCAGCGCCACCACTCAGCTGAAGAAGACACTGGGCTTCGATTATTGGCTCACCCGATACCCTGTTTGCCCTCGTACATTCCTTCGAATAAAGGTTTAATGCGATGCAGACTCATCTAGACAAATAATCTATCGCTGTTGACGCCTTCGGTATAAAAGCAAACTGTGACGTCACAAAGCGCAGGAACCCCATCCCACCTGCTGGGGCTTCGGGACGGAAATAACTAAAAAGGAGCCCTAAACAAGTAATGGAAGTTATCTAATAAGAGCGTGTGGAGGAACACGGCCCTAATGTGTGCAATGTGCAATAGCGTGCAACCTTTGAATTGGAAATGTGCTTTACAAATGTTTACTTGATGCTAAACCTCATCAATGAAGCGAACAATCATAAATTCATTTAGCGATGCCTTGCCAAAGAAGCTGCATTTAGACTCTGTAACGTGTGTGTTTGTGGATTGACGCTACGGGAACTCCATCTCAGTTTGTCGGAGCTAGTCTTGATTGGTTCATTGCTAAATCAAGGAGTCGAACTTTCGAATGTACTTAACTAAAGCACTCATGAAAAAATGATGTGAGAAGCAGGCAGTGGCTCTGCTAACGTATAAGAAGTCGAGTGTTAAAAAAGCGCTGAAGAGTAACGTTTCTTGGACGTGCACACAAAAATGATCGAGAATCAAGGAAGTTTACTACCAACATGGCTGTTGATGAGAAAAACCAAACATCACTCTATGGTTAACCTTTATTTTGCAGGGAAAGGTCAGAAGTACCCGGATGGGAGAGTTGTCCGATAAAGTGTGAGCCTCGATAATCACTACACACATATACCGTTGGTTATAACTCACGCTGATATAAAATCAGAGCGAATACGTGCGTTAGTTTCGTACAACAATCACCCATAACCTTTCGGCCCGTGTGCTCAGATTTGCGTGCACGTTAAAGAACCCCAGGTGGTCGAAACTTCCGGAGCCCTCCACTACGGCGTCTCTCATAATCGTATGGTGGTTTTGGGACGTTAGACCCCACATATCAATCACCCATAACCTTACAGCAACCTCATAGCCCTCTGTTTTGACCGCATACTCGCTTAACAGCCACACGCTTGGCGTTTGTGTTAATGTATTACCAACTCACGAACGCAGCTATCACGGTGCTGTTTCGAGCGTCGACAGTAGTACCGCTTTAAATATCCTCCTATCACTCTCTCCCGGACTTCCCTCTCCAAATCGCCCGCCTTGTTTACGGTGCAGCTCGAACAGCTTAATGGCAACGCCGCCACGACCAGCGCTTGCGTTAGCACTCAAGGACATAGATATTTCCTGCGAGCAAACGCTCCTCTCTGCAACCATCTCTCTGCAAACTCTTTTCTCCCCTTTATCCCTTCCCCAGTGCAGGGTAGCAAACCGGATGTGCGTCTGGTTAACCTCCCTGCCTTTCCTTGCATCTTTATCTCTCTCTCTCCCAGCGCTTGCGTTGAGCACCTGCAGCCTGTGTATTTCGCGTATACGGACAACGCATGAACAGTGTTTTGCAGCGCGCGTCGAAGCGAAGTTCGACGATCGGCGCCGACGAGACGGTGCACCTATACGGGGTGACACAGAGCCCGATGCGCAGCGCGATATCCAGTCGGTGTTCGTAGAAGGTGCGGAACACCTGCTGTGCGACGATTTCGCAGATGTGACGGAGTATATCTATATCTGTACAGTCAGCGTCGAAAGTTTAGGGGCCTCTATAAACAGACTACAAAACTGAGGACATGAGTCGTTCGTATGTTTTCACACAGCCCTGCTATATGTGTTCAAGAATGTGTTTAAACAACCCAAACAAGAGTTCTATACTTATAGGTACGCCTGATCGAACACGATATATTGACCACTGAGCTCCCGCTGCGTTAAACACGATTGACTTTTAAAAAAACATCACGTGATTACGACATTAAATCACGTCATAACAACGTCACAGATAACCAGAACTTGTGACGCTGTAATGTCGTCATGATGGCAACAAAAGTGCTTTAGAAACGCAACAAAATTTCGAAATCATTTACGAGCGGATCCAGCTCGTATACAGAACGTTCTGAAATTCCACTCTATTCGTGGTCACTGTCTCTTAGCCTCGAACGTACTTTCTTATGATGACCTACTGAATACCAAGCTACATTTGTAGAAACATATATCACACCAACTGTTGGACTTTTCTCGGAATTTTCACCGGCGTGTCGTAGAGGTCATACTTAGTTAACTGTCGGCGCGCCGCCACCAATAGATTCTCATATTCGTCACCCACCCATGTTCTGCTCAACTCCATACATACCCCTCCAAAGGGCAAGGAAGAGATCTGATCTGGGGTTCCCGCGTAGCAAAAGTAAAGCAAACAAGCAAGGTGGCGTATAGAAAAGGTGGAAGGGGGAGAGATGTCTGCTTCGCAAAGCGAGAATGAAAAATCGCGCAGAGGCCATGGACACGACCATTTGGACCACGTTTCTTTTTCTCTCTCTCTCTTTCTTTCTTTCTTTCCGTACGGACAGAGTTCGAGACACCCGGCACCAACCACACAAGGTGGATATGTGGCGTGCGCGGTCGACGTTGTAAAGAAAAAAAAAAGAAAAAAAAGTGGCACCGGTTTCCGTTCGGTTCTTTTACTCCGCAAAAAAAAAAAAAGGTGTTAGAGAAAGAAGGGAAATAGACATAGAATAGTAAAGTCGGACACCGGAATAGGAGTCGGAAAAAAAAGGGGGGCGCAGATGCGATTCCGGGAAATAAACAAATAAAGAGAAAAACGTGAAACTCAGACACAGAGGTCGCAGTCACCCCCCATTTTTCGCAGCATTGTTGAGACGGCAGACCGGTGTGTCGTGGATAAAGGTTTTAAGAAAGTGCGACAGTGAGCAACACGGATGTTACCCGGTTCTATTATGCGGAACAAAAGTTTGTATACACGACACGTATACGTAGATGGTGCGTGTGTGTGTTGGAGAGAGGGGGAGGGGGTTAGTCTATACGCTTCTATAACGGTTGTAGACTACGAATGTGACAGTTTCAATGGCATTCTGGACAGGCGCGATTGTTGAA